AGTAGTCACAAGCTGCACATTGTATTTAGGCTGAGTACACAGGTTAGCTGTAAACTGGAAATTTGAAAAGACTGTGAAATATAGGAAAACATTAAAGAACTTTAACTCAAAGATAAAATAGTATTAATAATTTTATATGTAAAATGTTGGTGTGTTTGATATATTTGAGACCTGGTAAAGTACATTGAACAGGAAAAGGGTGAAAATGGAGTGTGATTGATTTGCCCTGAAAAATTATTCATTAAGCTTTTGCTGTATAGTTTCAACGAATACAATGAACGCATGAATATGTGAATATGAATATACTGAAAATTATTTAAGAACCTACATGCAGTTGCAATTGCTATCTCAGCTGAAAATCTTTGAACATCTTTGCCATATTTTTGTCTCTCTGACATGTTTGTCCTCCTCTGGCATTCTGGGGCATGTTTGGTGCTGCACTGTTCAGGTGCTCTGCCAGAAGACTGAGGCCTGGGTTAGCTGCCACCTTGCTGGCAGTGTAAGTAGAAAGGGAGATCAAAAAAGAATTGAAACAAAGGAAGGATTTAGACTAATATGAAACAGCAAATAGCTGAAGTACAGCATTTCCTAACTTTTGAATGTAACTCTCTATTTTCTCTCTGTTTATTGGTTTGGGGGGCTATTTTTGTTGTTATTTTTTGTTTATAAAACTATGTTCATAATTGAAATCCTTTCTAAATAAGAAACTGTAAGAAGGCTACAGTTGTCTTTTCACATTTTGCAAGACTAAAAATATTGTAAACAGAAATTCACCATTTTGTCTATTTCTTCCTCCTTTTCCTTTATTTTCTGTATTGTCTCCCAGAAGTAGAGTGAGGTCTGTGGTACATTTGGCTTCAAAGCTTATGAAATCAGTTTGCTATGGGAGCATTTCTGATCTTACTAAAATGGACAAGAAAAGGAGTAAACTGGGGGAAAAGGAAGCAAGCAGATTTCAGCTTTTGAAGATGTGAGCAATATGTGCATAAATTAACTCTTGAGGTGACTGAGTAGGGTGCTCAGAACTGGTGTTATACTGAAGCTGTTCACTCTGCATTAGGAAGAATAAAAATGGAAAATCTGTCCCCAGTGTGTGCAGCTTAAGATGTGCTGATGCAACTGCTGAGTTAATGGTGAAAGTGTGGTGTAGTGCTCCGGTCTTTTGGAGAGACAATCACTGAAACTGGCAGAAGGGGGAGCTTTTGGAGTAAAACTCATTTTGATCATTAGTCTCAACTGGTGCTCGCTGCCAGCTGTGCTCCTGGGCTTTTGCAAATCCGGCATAAGGAGGATGGAAAACACATCTCTAAAGATAAATGTGAGGTTATAACAGTAAGATCCTCAGGGAAGCATTATTGCAAGCTCTGCTGTAGCTCAGTGCCTCAGTGAATTATATGTGTTTTCAGTACGACCATGACTACTCTGATCTTCTTCCAATTCTCACTTCCCATTCATGTCTCTTCCTCCCCTCAGTGATTAAGAAAATTCATAGCTAACATCATTTTCATGATACTGCTGATTTATAAAGATTTTCTTGCTCACCTTGTAGCCTTTGAAAGGCTTGTCTTCTGAGCATATCAAAGATCTATAAGGTGAATTCATTGAGTCAGGATTTGCTTGTGGACAATACTGAACGCTCTTTTTTACCCACCTTCTTCATACAGGGAGACAATATGAATGGAAACCATACTGGGACAGGTGAATTTTCATTCAGTAGTGAATAGATTGCATTTTCTACAGAGATGGCTTTCATGAACAGTGGTGTTCAATTCTTGATCATAGGGATTGGATGAGAACCTGTTGTGTCATAGTAGAGGAGACAACATCAGTAGTGCTTCATCTTCATGGGAAAGGGAGAAAGAGGCAGATCATATAGAGGTGGAGAACAAGGAACTTGGAAGCTGAGCCAGAAGATTCTGGCTGAGTCACAGTAGCAAAATTATAACAAAATATCCCCAGAAGGCCAGAATCTGAAACTTCCAAACTTAATCTCATGTTCTCATTCTTGTAGTTGATTAATTGTGCAATCCTTTGTAAGAGAAGAAAAAACAAAAGTCTTTTTATCCCTTTGTGTGGTTTAATAAGTAATTCTAAGCTCCTAAAAAAATATCTTCTGAGTTTATAGTCATCGTACTTGCTAAAGATTTTTGGCAGGATCCTCAGAATACTGGCTTGATCTAAAGCTGAAGTTCTTGCCTAATTCAAAATTTAGTATTCTCCCCATCCCTTGCCAAAATAATTAGGGGAGAGGTAAGAATAGGGTTCAGGAACTTCATGACCTGGAATTTCTAGGAAGAAATGTTTTAAACACAAATAGTGGTAATTTAACCTCTTAGAGGAAAAAAAAAAATCTCAGAGACTTCAGTTTTAGTTTCTACTGTTCTCATGGCAGGTAAAGGCAGTCAAGAGAAAGTCTCTGCCACTCCACTCACACCTGAAGCAGAAATCAGCCAATCATCTAATAATTATGAAATTATTAGTCATTTAATTATTCCAGATTATTTGCAAACATCTTCACCTCCTGAAGGCATTACCTCATGTAAGTTATGAATATGAGGTGATTAAGGTGTCTGAGGCCAAAAGCTGTTGCTGCTGCCTTTTGTTTATAAACAAACAGTGCAAAATTGTAGCTCAAAGTCTTGTAGTTGACTGAAATTTAGCCTGAGATCGATTTAAATCAAATTATTGATTCTTCTAGATTAGAAAGTACTTGCTGAGATAATTAAATAATTTTTACTATCCTATTTATTCCAAGACTACTTCATGCTGTCATGGACAAAATTATATCACTTCTCTTACCATAATCTGCATTAATTAAATTAATGGATGACATTTTTTGCACATATACTTATTTTATGTTGTTTGAATACCAAAGTATTTTTAGAAATTTGTTAAAAACTACTATAAAAATTAAACTCCAACTGAATAGTAATTAAGATTCCGAACAATGTATTTGAATTTGAGCAAGACAGATGCTATAAAAATTAGCAAATGAGTAGGTGGATTAAAGGGGGGGGGAAGCCTAATTTCCTGTTTTGTAATTTACAGATATTGTTCCTTCTAATTAGGTCAAAGCTAAAGGAAGGGGTTATTCTGGGTCTGAATATGCAGGAGAAGACTCTTTAAACATGACAAGATTATTTAAATGTTAAAATGTGCCGGGTGGAGGGGAGACAAAACAAAATCTATCAAGTCTGACATTCTGTGGTTATGGATAACATTTCAATATATAATATAGCCTGCAGAAATGTGTCATTTTCTTGCATAATTCTTTCTTTTGGGGTGTGAGCAAAGTGATCCTCTGTGGTCAGCAAGAAAGACTGCCTTGAACTAATAAATTATTTTGAAGAATTAACAGCTGAACTGTGATAGAGGGATATGTTGAAGAAGCAGTTTTGTTGGTGTTGCATTTCAGGTGGTGTAACCAAGGGACAGAGGCAAACTAATTGGCAACTGTAACAAAATTTGTCTCATACAAGTTTATCTCATAGCTTATCTCCTGTTTTATTCCCTTGAATGTATTGTATTTTGTCTAATAAAGGGCTAGCAAACTTGGACTTATAATCAGATAATTATGAGATCTCTAGATGTGGAGAAGAAAATCTTAGAAATAACTTCCAACATTTTAATGCATTGTTTATTTTAGGATGTATTGCCACATGAAGTTAAAATAATACAGAAACTCCTAGCCAAATGTCACTTACTGTATCTTTTTAAAATTGCTTCCAGATGTTTAAAAGAAAAATCTTTTTAGTATGTTCAGAAAGCCTGGGAAATTTTACATTTTGAATAAAGTCAATGTTCAATCAGAAATCTTTCATGTAAAAACCAGTAGAAAAATAATTATCAATATCATTGTTACTATGCTAAAGTACACTTTATGTTGCTTTCTTAACACAGTGTTGGTTTTTGTTTGTTTTTTTAAAAATACCTTTGACTTTGAATGAAGGGGTGGAAAAAAGATGCTGTAGAAACTTACTTCAGTACAAACTGTATTCTCAGCTAGTTTATACACAAACATGAAATTAACTTTATTACCCCATTTGTCTTTCTTCTTTCAGTATATCTATTTCATCTCTTTATCGATATCATGTGAATTGGAACTCTGGCATCTTTTTACATTTGACTATTTAGAGCTTAAGCAACTTAATATTCTTACTATGTAGATTTTAATGCAACATGCGTATGTAACTAATTTTTGTAGTCTATTTCTGGGAAAACTCACAAAGCATTGTCATATTTCAAACCACTAACATTTTCTCCTCTAATATATTTTATAATATATGCTTTCTTTTCATGTTCTGGTTGGATAACAAAAGCAAACAATTTGATCATGAAATCTGGCCCTATAAGAGGAATCAGTATCTTCCTGCTCTTTAAAAGCTTTATTTCTCTGAGTTGCTGCTTCTGACCCTGCATTTTAGTTTGGAGCACTCCACCACTCTGGAGCAATATAAAGTACAATTTCATACAGAATAGTTATGAGGGGTTTTGTTACTATTCCTTTATTGAGAGTTTCTCCAAAGAAACACAGCAAAATTTCTCAAAGACGATGATAATTTGATGATTCTAAAAAACAATGGCTCATTTAAGGAGTCAAGAGGCCAAACTCTATACTAGCTTTGTGTGACATCCTTGGAAGAATTTGTTCCATCTCTTGCTAATATCTTGATTCTCCCTTTGGAAAAATTGCATAGGAAATTGATGCCACAATAACGATTCATGGTTTTTGTTCCTTTTTCACAGTGCAGCCGGCATATATAATATATACACATGTTTTCTTGAATGTCCTAATTAATCAGGCTCCAGGTCACTTAAAATCATTATGTATAAATATTTTATATTAAAGACTTACTATCACATACATTTCTTAAGAACTATTTTTCATTTAATAGCTTTTACGTCTAATAATTCAGATTTTCAATACACATTGTAATGCCTAAATTCTTGTGTCCTGCATATAGCTACAAATTCTTCTTGATCTCTCATCATCTTGGCAGGACGAACTCTGTTGGAAAAGCTCTTCAGCCAGCAGGAAAATGCACCGCAAGAAGAAGCAGAAAAACTGTGTTCTCGCATTATTGCAATGGGTCTTTTGCTTCCATTCACTGACTGCTTCAGAGAGCCATGTAACCAGAGTGCCAAGCAAAGCACGCCCACGTTTGATGTAAGTACAGAAAAAGTTGTCCTTTGTCTCTTTTGTGAAACAGGACATGATTTTCTTATATTTTATCCCCCCTGAAAGAATTCAGTTTGTCATTTTAATGAAAATTGCCCTTAGGAGAGTGACCATCTATTTTTGTGTGCTCAGGTATGTACGCTTTTGTATGCACATTACCACGTTCTCTTCAAAGAACTTAATTTCTTAACTTTTTAAGTCATATCTTAGTCTGAGTCTGTTCTTCATTTGCAGTTCTCATTTTTGTCCTCTTTGAATGAAAGCATTACCAAGATTTCCATCAATAGCTGCCTCACCAAAAAATAAAAATTAAAGGAATAACAGAAAAGAGCATGTCACAAAATTTTACAGAACGCAAAATGGATGTCTATCCTAGGTTGTTTGTTTGGTTTTTTTTTTTCCCTGAAAATACTTTGGGTACAAAATAGTGCAGAGGTCAATGCAAATATGCTGGCATTCCAGCTATAGTGTTATCTGTACCTGTGGGCTATCTGGCCAGGCGTTTGCCTACTGTTAAAAACCTGAGTGTAGATGTAACCTTACATACTTCTCCTTTCTCTTGGATTATTAATTAAATATTAGGATGTCTTCTTTTTGTAACCTATAGCACTTTGTACTGATTTATGTGGCTAAAAATAATTAGGGATTTTCACTTCACTAATTAGCTCCAAAACAGTATACAAATATTAAATAATTGACTTAATGTCTTGCTGGTGTAGTAAAGATCATCCTTATTCGACACGTTAAACTGAAGTTTGGTTACAAACAGACAAAAAAGTATTGGCATAGATATGAGAGAACATGATTATTTCTTAACTCTTCAAATCTTTCACATCTTTCTTAAAGAATAGTTTAACAGAACTGGTGAAGGGAAAACTGAGAGAATAATTTTTCTTCCAGAGAATTCCTATACAAGCTTTCCTAAAAAGCCCATTTTATCTACAAAGTCATCCAATGGTCCCTCTAGCAATATTATACATTTATGTTTTGGCTTTGGTGTTGCTGTTTTGTTTTTTTTTAAGATGCAAGATTTGAAACATTTTTTTAACTGATTTTTGAAATTAATTGAAAAATGCAGTCTAACTATAATACTGAGGTTACTCAGGCAACTTAAAATCACACAGCATTTGAAAGTGCTTGTGGTTGAATATACTCATGAAAGTTACTAGAAAAGTTTCTTATTTTTCAGGCTGTTTAAAACAGTCTGGTAATATTTTCCACTCTCCAGCTGTTACCATATATTCAGCAATCTCCTTTAGATGATTGAGTACTGTATTTTTAAAAAGCTTCTCTTACATTATAAATAGATTTTTTTGTCAAATTCAAAGTTTTCAAAGAAACAGAAAAGGCTCTTTTTTTAACTAATATACCATGCTTTTTCTGAATAACAGTACTTTAATTATCTTTTGTTTAATGTATCCAAAAGAAGGCACATAGTAGTAACCTAGTGTCACATCAACCATCTGTTAAGGTCAGGAATTTAGGATGTTGCTGAATTAGCAGTGATCTTAATTTGACTTGGTCTATCAGTAAGCCAGAATTGTCACAGTTTCAGTGACTTTTTTTCTGTATAAATCCCCTAAATAGATCCCACTCCTAGTAAAACAATGTCAGAAGTGGTGTATGGCCCTGTTTTGTAACCAGGAGCATTCAGCTGTCTTGAACACCAGATCTCCATAATTGAATTCTACATGGTGCAGAGCTGAGAGCTGCTGATGCTGAGTTTTGGAATATGTTTCTTCTCCAGCCTTGGTGACCACACTACAGGAACACCTATCTGTTTATTCATTACACATTCTCCAAAACAAAAATATTTAGAACTTGCAGTATAAATTCTAATGGCTGAAAACTTGAAGATTATGCATCTCCTTTCTTCTTAGAGTAAATTTAAAGTATTTTACAGGAAATAAATACTAATTATTATGTAAGGGAACAAAATAATTAAAAATTAGCTTGAAAAAAATTATGGTGATGCTGAATATTGCTTTAAAAAGGACATGTAAGGTTGGCGAGTCATGTCCTCTCTTGCATCTCTCTCCATGTGTGTACTTTGAGGTTTTTTACTATTAACATTTATCTTGTTTGTTTCTATGCATTTTTTTAAGTTCATTAGAGCAAAACTTTAATGTTGATCTAATAGTTTATTTTAAAGACAGAGGAATTAGGACTTGATTAAGGACTAGTATTACTTCCTTAATTTCACCCATCTAGAATTAAGAGGTACATCTTCTTTGACCTTACTCCAAAACTGGGAGCAGAGCCAGACCCATATTCTTCATCTCTGAGTTCATCAGACCCCCCAGTTCAATTTTGAATTGCCTCCAGTTTGGCTGATATCCTCTTCACCTAGCTGAAACTGCCATCAGCAAAGCTCCTGTAGCCCTGTCCTGGTCCCTGCCACCTTCTGGCCTTCTCCCTTCTTCATAAAGCCATGGTGCTTGCCTGGTTCTTAATGTTACTTCTTTGGCTATTTTGATTTTCATCTTGCTCTGGTGCTTGTAAAGTCTCTTGGGTTACTTTTTCAGATTTTTTTTTCCTTTTGGCAGAATTTCCAACACTTTTTCCACTGAAACCCATCCTTGAATCCTTTTCTCCTTTTGTGATTTATCCCTCGTATTTCTGAACTTTAAAGTACTATTTGTTTTAAATTAAATAAAATCCATTCCCTTCTTGCTTAAGTGTGGTCCCACAGACTTTATTTTTTGAAGATGTTAAGTTACAGTTTATGAAAACAATTCAGTAAGTTTTGTTCACTCTATGATCTATTGCTCATGGCTCGATATGAATATAAACAGATTATTTAAAAGTCCTATTCTCTCACTCTGAACCCCTTTTCTGGATGGCCTCTAGTGAATTTAATTTAACATGGCTAATGCTGAAATCTTTTGAAATGTTTGCAATTGCACATTTTGATTATATTCTCATTTTCTTTATTATTCATGCTCTCTGGTCACCTCTACTTCTCCCTGTCTTAGAAATCTTTATCCAAATCTTTTGTCTGTTTTCTCAGTAATGCAAGAGATCTGGTCTGCTTTTTTTCTCCCAGGATGTTCCAGTCTTCTGTGTAGGCCATTAAAGAATAGTACATGCCCTCTTTTTAATTTCTTTTTGCATCCTATTTCTTTCTTCTCTGCTCTGAATTGTCTTAATTGTCTGACTACAATTAAGCAGTGAATTAAAAATAAGGGCAACTTCCACAGCTCTTAGTTTCCTGGGGTAATTCTATAATGGCTCCTAGAATTCAGTTTAAATTCTTGGCACTTTTGTCTCTGGTGTAAACTATACTTTGTGGATGTGAATTTTTTTCATATATGGCAAACGTGAGGGATCAACAAATGTAAAATGAGAGCACAAATCTTAAGAGAACTAGCAGCTGTCACCACATTTATGCCAAGGACAGAGTCCAGTTTCCAAGGGCTTATATCTTACTCAGGTCTTTGGATAAATTTTAGTGATGATTGGAGATGACATGTTCATGAAGTACCTCTGAACTTCTTGTCAAATTAGCCCAAAGGACAGAAATTTTAGAACTGTTTTAAGAAATTATGAGAAAACTCTCATCTTCAATCTTAGCTTGTTTTGTAATTTCTTTTAAAAAAAAGTTGATGGCAGTTGCCCAGAATAAAAGATTAGTCTGAAAAATACAAGTTGAACAAAGCCTTAAAAGTAACATAAATAGACAAGGGTTGGTTTTTTTTAAGATTTTTGCTGTTGAGAAGCAGTGTAAGCTTTTGTTATACCCTTCCTACCTACTGTCCCAATATAAAGAGGATCTTAAAGAGTAAGTAAATGTTCAGTGGCAGGTTCTCTGTCTAGACATACGTTGCCCTTAATGCTAGTTTCCCATTTGCTAGGGAGGCTGCTAATTATTGCTTCATGTATGTCATGACAACTTACTCATCAGGCTATCTTTAGTCTTTCATGCTTCTGCTAGTATTTTATAAAGAAAAACAGAGGGTTTAACTAAAAAGAAATGAAGTCAAACAAGTAAATGGCAACTTATAGAAAGATGGATTAGCAAAAGCCTACAGAAAGCATGTCCTCTGAAAAAAATGCTTGCCTTTTGAACTGCTATTGCCTTTTACATTTTTTCCTTTTTAGCGGTTGTAAGTTATTCAAGAGGGCTTCTAAAGATTCAAATTAAAACAAAGTATCTTCTGAGTGAATGATATGCAAGACATTAATGCCTTGTGAAAAATACTTCCATTCATAAAAGGCAGAATCACAGAATTGTTAAGGTTGGCAAAGACCTCTAAGATCATCAAGTCCAACCTTTAGCCCAGCACCACCATATTCACCATTAAAGCATATTCCCAAGTGCCACATCCGCATTCCTTTTGAACGTTTCCAAGTATGATGATTCCACCACTTCCCTGGGCAGCCTGTTCAATGCCTGACTACCCTTCCAATGAGGAAATATTACCTAATACCCAAACTAAACCTCCCCTGGTGCAGCTTGAGGCCTTTGTCCCTTGTCTGGTCACTTGATAGCTGTGAGAACTACCTACTTTCCTACATGTGGTGCAACTATAGTCTTAAGCTTTTTAGCATGTTACCTCATTATATTTTCCTATTAGAGTAAAATAATCATGAAATTGGCATGTCCAAAGTGTACATCTTTGGCAAGAATGTAATAACAGGCAAGTTTTTCCTTCACCTGTTGGAGGATCACAGTTTTTAATAAGTAGGGATCTCATCTGCTTAGCTCTTCTCTTTAAAATCACTGAAGGTGTAAGATAGCTATCTTCAGAGTGCCATCAGTAATGTGTATGAATTATAAATATTTGCATTAGATTTTAAACGGTTCATAACAAGGAAGAAGCTGGCATCTTCCTATCATATGAGGCAACTTTCTTTAACATTTCAGTGCCAAAAAATTGTGACAACTACTTGGTGTTTTCGTTTTATCCAGTAGTTGCAATTAGCACACATGTAGTGTGTGGATGTGTAGTCCCTAATTATGTCTTCCTGTTTCAGATTTTCCAGTT